GCAGAAACTGCAACTGCCCTCGTTCCCCCATCAGTCAGCATTACATGTCTACTGAGCATGCTCAGTCCCCATTGGATGGTTTGGGATCCCTGCTCTACTTAGAACTTTTTTCCCTACTTTTAAAGAAATATTTCTGCAAATATGCTAACATTTCCTTCCTGTGTGTGGATGATGCCACTACATAAGAAGTATAAAATGAGTTTCAAGACAATCTAAACCCCAGCTGGGCAACGACAGAATCACTGGGGCATCTGCAGCCCTGACACTCACAAAAAGGCAGGGGAGCAAACAAACTGCTGTAACAGTCTGGAGCTGGCATAGCAGTTAGGCCTGAATTGGCCTTGATCCTGTCAAATGTTGGTTGTAGGGCCACCTTGAGAAACTAGAGGTCCCTGGACTGGCAGAGTCCAGTTCCTGTCCCTGGAATATTCTGTTTTGAGGTGTCACTCCACCCATTTGGTGACTCGAGTGGAGAGCTCCACCATATCAGAGTGATACTGGTGTGACTTCATAGGCGGGAGTCTCTCCTCAGTCTAGCCCCACCCCACAGCAAAGTGTGTTTGGGTTATAGGCTAAGATATTAGTATAGAGAATGGGCAAATGCTTTTCAAAATAAATCATACCTGTCCACTTCTTCTACCATTTGCATATTGTCCTTCATAGGTATCACCATTGGGTAATCTGGCCTTTCCCTGTCCATGCCGTTCACCAGCTTCATTGCGTTCTCCTTCATATTCCTACTTAAATGAGATCAGATAGTTGTCATTCAGCTAAAACAGAGTCAACATGACTGAAGTCTACTTATATCTTTTGTGTATAGAGAGAGGAATAGGGTAGCTGAAAGCAAGAGGAAAGATCTCCTTCACACTTAGTAGTTGTGTAGGAGAAGAGAGGATTTCAGCAGGTATATGCAGGTTTTGCAGTAATTTTAACTGTAGCTTGTCATGTAAACTATGCCTCCAGCATTCCCTTCTACACAATTATTAAAGAGAAAGGACCTCTGTCCTCTTTTGCATCTGGTCATCCAACAAAGCAAGCTGCCTTTTACAAAGTCAGACCATTAAACCAGTATAATGACTAATATTATGCTAGAATAAATTTGTTTGTTTTTAAGCTAGCACAAGACTCTTTCTTGTTTTTATTACAACAGACAAACACATCCACTCATCTGGAAACTGAATAGCAGTGGCTCTCTAGTTTCAAACTGGAGGTGCTGGGGGCCTAAATCCAGGACCTGCTGCATGCACTTAGCTATGGCTTCTCCTCATAAAGAACAAGGTGAATACAAAATATTATATACTGCAAATATCTCTTTCTTTGTCGTTCTGTGCAATCCTATCTATGCATGTGTACTCAGAAGTAAGTCCTATTAAGTTCAACTGCAGGTGAAATGCCATGTGTCCTTAACAGATACCCTGAAAATAGTTTTCTCTTTTGTTTTAATATGAATAATTTTAAGACATTGTTGTATAGACTCTTCTGTCGGTGCAGCATTCTATGCATAGTATTTCTTCTAGCCATACAATTCTTGTTTTTTAATTATTTCTGTATTGATTTCTGCCAAGTAAGCACCTTAGGCAAGAGCTTAAAAGTCAACAGCTTTCTCTCTGGAATGCTTTGTAAAATCTCAAATTCCGTAACTCACCATGTCATTTCCTCTATTTTAAATAAATCATGCAAATCAAGCGTTTGCCTAAGGCTCCTTTGCATCCACACAATTTGGACGCTGAGGCTTTCGCAATGGCTGGACAAAGTAAATGACTAAAAGACACTAATTTGTGAAAACATAGGGCGAGGCACAAGAGTGTGTCTCCATATTGTGGATCAGATTTTGAATCAAACTCCCAGTAATAATAATAATGATAAAAAGTTCCACTTTTTGCTTCATGGAAACTGGTGTTTTACCTTTCCCAAACTGTTTCTACCATAATGCAAACGTGCATGAAACTCTCTGCAAAAAAAAACCCTCTTTCTTTACTCCACAAGTTCTCCACTCAAGAGTATGGGGAGTTCATTCAGAAAATGGTCTTACCTGGGCATGTTTACTCAGAAGCAAGTCCCACTGTGCTCAATGGGGCTTACTTCCTAGTAAGTGCGTTTGGGCTTTTTTCTGATCCAAACGATTAACCTGCACACGTATCCCTTCCTACATCATCTGCCTCCCCCCCCCCCCCCCGCACACTGACCCCCAAATCATTCTCAGCCTCCTCTTCGATCTCTTCCGAGCCGAGATCCGACATGATTCAGTCCGGGCTTGTCACCATGGAAACGGCTTCGCTCGTTAGACCCCGCCCCCTCTCACCCGGCCTCCCAGAAGGCGGGGCTCCGAGCGCGCGGTCGCTAATAGCAACCATGCCTCGCACTCTCTCCCGATTGGCCAGGGAAGCCCCGGCGCTGCGCAGGAGGGACGACATCTGCCCGTGGGAGCCGGGCTGGACAGAGTTGTAGTCCAAAGCGTCTGGAGTGCCACCCACGCTTCCAGAAGATGTGGGGTGTGTGTTGATGCTACTGCCTTTGGGAAGGATTTATCAGGGGATGCTGCTTCTTTCACAAGAGGTAGCAATACAATTTAGCATAGTTTTGCTGTTCGGGGTGTAGTCCATGGCATGCCAGTCAGTTCATGGTGCATAATAATGGTCTATTTGGGGAAACAGGTCAGCACACGCCCTTCTCATTGAGTGGATACCAGCATTGACATTAGAATGTGTCTTCCTGGTCAAGCAAGTGCTATATGCAGCTTTTAAAATTTCCGTTTTAAAATGAGAGCTGTCTTGTTGAAATCCAAAAGTGGTACTTCATATGTTGATGTTAATTAATTTGATTTCATGTAGAGCTAGTTCTAAATCATCAGAAAATACTCCAGTTTTACCTTTGATGCATTTGTACTTATGTATTCAAAACAACCCTAAAAAGTTAAGTCAAAAGTGAAACAAACGTGACTCTAATGTGCAGCTAACCATTTAAAAGACGTTAGGACAGGTTTCTTATGCTTTTAGAAGAAGCAGCTTGGGAAAATATATATTTAGCAGAGTCATGAGAGCAGTTACAGGAAATTGCAGAACCCTTTAGTACTGCCAGAACATGCAACTACATGGAAGACTTAATTATTTCAGAAATACATATCTTAGCTCTGAAAGGGAGAAGGGAAATACAGTTTTTTCTACTGCAGTCCTGTATAACAACCTTCCTCACTCTGGTTCCCCTGCAGTTGTTTTGGTGCACTGCCAGCCCCAACCAACACTCAGCTGAGAGTAAGACCTATTCTAAAACAACAGAATTTGCTTCTGAGTAGACACGTCTAGGATTGTGCTGTTGGATGTGTAAGGGCTCCTTAATGTATCTTGGAGAAAGTGTATATTAGACAAAACTTAAACGAACAATGTGTAATCCTGAGACACCTTTGTATAATCACTAACCAACAGAATCTAATCAGAACCACAGGAACATAGTTTAACATATGTATAGTTTAATATATGCATGAAGCACCTCTCCTTTATGGGTATGCCTCTGGCTCCTGCTTCATCACACAGTATACTGTTCAAGGTGAGCTGGTTTCTGGAATGATCACACCACCAAGTCAGCACTTCACGGTGAATGTGGAATGCATTAATGGCTTGTCCATACGTCAGTTTGTCCCGTGCCTAGAAAGCATAGGCCAGAGTGGTTTTCTGTTTGTACTCTGCTTTCTAGGCACTGGTCCAAGTGGTTTTGCCATTGCCCTGCTGCTGAATCAAAAAGCACTTTTCAGGAGCAAAAAGATGTGCAAGAGAACTATATTGTGTGTGTGAACTATGTAGAAAAAACAAGTACTCAAGCTCCGTTGATTCTAGAGAAAAATGTGTGCACGTAGCCTCAGGCCCAAACCATTTTATCTTTGCTGTTAGTGAATCCCACTGCATTTAGTGATACTTAACGCCCCAATAAGTGTGCATAGGATTTTAGTCTTCAGTTTCATCGAATCCAAATTGTAGAGTTGGAGGGTCCCTGGGGGTCATCTAATCCAACCCCCTGCAATGCAGGAATCTCAACTAAAGCATCTATGACAGATGGCCATCCAGCCTCTGCTTAAAAACCTGCAAGGAACAAGAGTCCAGAACCTCCTGAGGGAGTCCATTTCACTGTTGAACAGCTCTGACTGTTGGAAAGTTCTTCCTGATGTTTAGTTGGAAATTGGAATCTCCTTTCTTGTAACTTGAAGCCAGTTTGCTTGCTTGTTTATTCATGGACCATAAATACTATTTATGTTCTAGGATTCAATCTGATACATATCTACACAGAAGCCCCTCTATACTTCTTAGTACAACTCCAAGGTAATTTGTGCATGATTACAGCTTTAGGCTGCATTCTTATGCATACTAGGAAGTAATGCCCATTTAATTAAACAGGACTTATTTCTGAGTAAACATGCGTACAGTTGGGTTCTTGTTCTTTGTCCTGTTTATACTTACACTGTAAAAACAGTATGTATTCTGGGAGCACTGTATCAATAATAACAGCAGCAGCAGCAGCAGCAGCAGCAGTAAGCTAGTATTTTTAGCTTATGAGCTAAAAAGAAATTTACAGGAACACTGAGCTTCAGTCGTTGGGCATCTCACATACTCGGCTTAGAAGATTTAAAAGTCACTGATGCAATCTCATATGTATTTGGGTTGACTTTGTTAGCAGTGAGAGAAAAAGATTGTACCTGTTCAGGAAAACGATCATTCAGTTGTCACTGCCGTAGGCACCTCAGACATGTCCTGCATTTACAAGCCGATAGGGAAGTTTTGAAGTGAGTGGGCATAATATGGATAACTAAGGTTGCCGCCTGTTTTGCAGACATAAGCTTGGTGGCAGACATTTAACTGGCGTGGTTTGGAAAGCTGCCCCTGTTGGGTTTCTGCCTGCCAGGCAGCTGCCAAGTCGACGCAGCCAGCAATCTCTTTCAAAGCAAATGGCATGGCTATGAGCTTCCCTCGCTAGACCAGTTCCCTGGTGGTGTGGCGAAGACGAAGAGGCATATACGGTTTTATGATCAGGAAGCCGGATTCTGTCTCTGGCGGCAGTTCCGAGCCCTGCCGCCTCGGGCCCTGCCTGGGAGCGCCTTTCTTTCTCAGCTGCTGCCGTCAGAGCGAGAGGGAGGCGGCCCTGGCGGCGAGCAGAGCAGGTTCTCCTGTCACTATTTGTAGCAGCAGCGCACCAGAACTGGCTCGGCTTGAATGAAGCGAGACCGCGCCCGGGAGCGGCGCCTCGACCAGGAAGTGGCTGCCGAGGCTGCCAGGAAACGGTGCCTCCGCCCCGGAGCGCCAGGGAGCTGTAGAGGTGAGGAGACGGTCGTCGTCGTCTTCCCTTCAGGTGGGACCCTCCGAGAGGGAACAATGCGGGCAGGGGGAAGGCGGGAGCTTTGGGGCGGGGGCGCGTTCGGCTAGGAAGCAGCTTCTTTCTGCCTGAGCCCTGAGGGGGAGGCAGCTCTGTCAGCACTGCACCTGCCGCTGATGGAGACGCCTGGAAACGGAGTTCCCCTCTGATGGACATCAAAGCGGGGGCGACGAGGAGGAGGCTGGGGCGCGCGAGCGCGTTTGGGCTCGCTTGCTTTGTGTCGTCACTCTCGCACCCGCACGCGCGCTCTTTTAGGGCACAGACTCCAGATAACTTAATGCCGTTAGCCTCTCCGGCTGCAAGCCTTATAACCTAGGAACAGAATCGCAGAATTGTGGGGTTGGAAGGAACCCCGATAGTCATCTAATCCAACGGCTGGACTCCAGCCCCCTGCAATGTTGGAATAAATCCCATGTAGTTTCGTGGGACTTGCTTTTGAGTAGACATAGAATCCCATGGTGATGCTCTTTAGCTTATTTTGCCCATTAAGTTTGATTAAAAGGAAGGGTGTGTGTGTAAGCTTCTGTGGAACCCCTCCCCAGGAACTTCACTTGCCTTCTTGGCAAACAACAACAAAACCCCAACTCCTACCTTCCCCCCCCCCTCTCAATCCTTCAAAATCTGGTGTTATGACTGCTTTTATTACTGTTGTATATATTTGTGGTTTCCCCTCTATATTATTAGGTTAAATGTTCCAATATGGTCAAAGTGTTCTATGTACAGTATAGTCTTTTAAATAAATAAGCAAGCCACTTTAGTGAACACAGGAAATTGTCTTGTACTGAGTCATTAGTCCATCTAGGTCAGTATGTATCAACATGGACTAGCAGTGGCTTTTCAGGATTCCAGGCAGGGGACTTTCCCAGACCTGCTTGGAGATGTAGGACTGAACCAGGGACAGTTGCTATATCACTGAGCCCTTTGGAGTTCCATTAAAGAGCACCAAACTGCCATTTAATGTTAGTCTTTTGTCATGGGAGGTGCCATTTTAGGTGCAAAAGTATTTCAAGCAGGGCCAAAAGACTTCACTTCCACCTATTGGTGTCCTGCAGGTGGAAGTTGTATTCATGGGGAAATCACCCAGAGGACACTCCCTTGCCAGGAGACATAGCCCAGAAGAAGCTTAAGGGCAATGGATTTGTTGCTGAACAAATTTGCATAGTTGTGTCTTATGACAGATGACCATACATGTAGAATATTCAAGATATCTTTCTAAAGAATCTTGGTTACACAACTGAGTTTAACAGATCCAGGCTTCGATGGCACTATTTCCCCATGTCTTGCACATTTATTTGCACACATCTGCAGTACTATTCTTCAGATATGATACAATCACTTCACCAGCTTGATCCTCCTGAAGAGCTGGGATGAAAACAAAAGGTACTTTTTCAGATGTGTGTTTGCAAATCCAAACTCCTGGATTCAGTTTGGTAAAAAGTGCTAACCTGAAGGCAGAAGCAGTGAGGCTGTTTACATACATGCCCTGCAGTGTAGACTATCAACTGGCTTAGAGTTTACTTATGCTATTGTGAGAGAGAAACTGTTCTACACTTGACTTTTGATTTGTTTGCACTTCTGTCTCTTGTAAAGAATTCCATATAGCAGAGTTTATGGCATTTTGCCTCTAAGGCAACTAGATCTGTAAAGTGCAGCCTAGCATGGTCTTAATCTTCAAGCGCTACTACATGTAAACAAATATTTGAAGGAATACCAGGTGCTACTGAACAACTTAGTTTTACCTTGGTATTTCTTCCTCCCGGAAGAGGGTTTTGGAGACCTCAGCAACAACAGAATAAAAATAAAAAATTGTTTCTAAACTCTAATCCTGCAGAAACTCCGTTGCTTGGTTTGCAACCCTTCTCAGTGCTTTATAGGGTGGCACAGTTTGATCTAAAGGTCCAGCTTCAGGAACATACAACCTGTTGTGACAAGTTTGCAAAGTATTTTGAGGGCAGTCTCTTATATACACCCCAACCTTGACACCACTTTTAAGGCAAGTCTGCTAGAGACATCCAGAACACCGGCTCTCTCTTGCCACTTAACCTCCATAGCTAATAAATGCCAACCTGACTAAATGACTGCATTTCTGCCTCCTCCTGTCCCTGTGTTGTACCATGGGTTCTATTCTTAATTTACTATACATACAGTATGGTACACTTTGGAAGGTTTGTAAGTATTACACACTATGGGGTAAGTGTAAACGTTTAATTCATATGTTGAGATGCATATAGTTGAAATTTTCTTGTGTGGTCTGGCAGCAGGTTTGCAGTTCATAGAGAACAGTTCATAGTGTTTTAGGTGAACATTCTAACAATGAAGCTGGATTGAGGATTGTAGCATGTGTACATGTTGCCTTGAGAAACTGGCTCCAGAATTGTGATGCTCAGGTCGACACAGCTTGGGCATGTTTATCCTGGTTGCATTAACAAGTGGGCAAGATTACTGATTGGTTAAATATTGTCAAGTTGCTTGTATAGATTTTAATACTGGGGTGATCTTTGTTTCTGATGGTCATCTCTTTCAAATCATGTTTTTATTTCCCTCTGTTTTCTTTATTTCTTATATTAGCATGAAAATAGTAAAAAAATGCTTTGCATTAAAATTATCTCTTTCAAATTTACTTTTTTTGTTGTTCTCTTCTCATAACGACCATAGCTGAGAAATATTGTTGTAGCATGATCAGTAACACTTTTCTTTTCTGGTCTGTTTCTTTTTTTATTAAATATTTTCTTGATTTACAAAAGTGTTTGCAATCTCTCTCTCTCGTATTCCCCCCCCCCCCGTAACATTTTTACAAATCAGTTTCATTTGCTGAGACATTAGGAAGAAAAGGGGGAAAGAGGTGGGGGGGAGATGGGGTCAGGTGGAGATGTTTCTATTTTACTCACTATTTGTAGGGTTTGGTGTCAGCGTTTGTGCAGGTTCTTTGCTGTTCGCTTGTGTTCCTTTGGTGGTGAGAGATGTTGGGGTTGGCCTAGGGTGTGGTTATTCATAGTAACACTTTTCTTATAAAAATATGTACCAGGAAGAAGAATCAGCCACTCATAGTGATGGTCAGTGACACTAAAAGAGAAATGTAAAGGACATTAATCAATGTGACAGTTGGTTCTGTTGAAAACCTGGAACCAATACCTGAAGCACCTGAATAATTAATATCTGAAACTGATACTCAAGTAAATGGCTGAACTTCCACCTGGGATTCGCTTGATCACTTTATTTACAAGAGACCAGTGGTAAGTTATAGTCTATTGCTTTGGCCTGGTCAGGCTTTGACTTCCTCTTAAATAAATCTCAATTCAAATATTAAGTTCTAATAAGAATGAACAGTGATGCATTTTGCTTAAAGGTATGTTTCTGTATAGACATTACATTATAATCATCACTACAGTCGTACCTTGGTTGATGTACACCTTGCGACTCGAACGTTTTGGTTCCCGAATGCCACAAACCCGGAAGTGAATGTTCCAGTTTGCAAATGTTCTTTGGAACCCGAATGTCCGATGTGGCTTCCAATTGGCTGCAAGAGCTTCCTGCAGCCAGTCGGAAGCCGCGCCTTGGTTTCCAAATGTTTTGGAAGTCGAACAGACTTCCGGAACGGATTCCGTTCGACTTCCGAGGTACCTCTGTACTATTATGCTTGAAAAATTGAAAAGGATACCTGTGCTTTGTATTGTGTTTGGGAAGAGGAAGGTCCTCCTTTAAACTGAATTGTGAAGTTCCAATTTGGTGTGTGGATGTGTTTATGCAGGGTGTGTGTGTGACAAGCCCCCCTCTTGCTCCTTGAACCCAGGTATACTTAGGGTTAGGGTTGTCATCTGACCAGAAAGAAATTGGCCTTCTCTTACACCTTTAACAATACCATGATGTGCAAAAAAAACCCAGGTGAAGCTTTCCACAGCATGGAGTTTGGCAGGTGACAACATTTATGTTCTGGTCATCAAGCTTCTGTGAAAGGTGCAGCTACAGGAGCAGATTGAAGAGCGGGCAGCCGTGCTTATCATCTGGCTATCACACCTCACAGAACTGCTATGCAGCAATTACCACCTATTCCTGGGAGCTGCTCTGACTCAACTAGCCACAGCAGCGTTGGTGGCTGCCTCTTAGCACAACCTCTGGGCTTGATCCCAGTTGTGTCTGACATTTGCCAGGAATTACCGTATTTTTCGCTCTATAGGACACACTTTTTCCCCTCCAAAAATTAAGGGGAAATGTGCGTGCATCCTATGGGGCGAATGCAGGCTCCTTGGCTTCAGTGATAGCAACGCGAAGCCTCCGAAGCGCAGAGGGAGCGCTCCCTCCGCGCTCCGGAGGCTTTGTGTTGCTTTCGCTGAAGCCTGGAGAGCGAGAGGGGTCGGTGCACACCGACCCCTCTTGCTCTCCAGGCTTCAGGGATAGCCGCCTGAAGCCTCCGGAGTGCAGCGGGAGGTCCCGCTGAGCTCCAGAGGCTTCGGGTTCCTTTTGCTGAAGCTGGGAGAGCAAGACTCTCCCGGCTTCAGCAGAGAGGGAGAGCTGCGCAGCACCCCTTCAGCCAAGCAGGAGGAGAAATGGAAGGGGCTCCGTTTCTCCTGCCGCTTCGCTGAAGGGGCGCTGAGCAGAGAGGGGGAGATTTTTTTTTCCTTGTTCTCCCCCTCTAAAACAAGGTGCGTCCTATGGTCGGGTGCATCCTATGGAGCGAAAAATACGGTAACTGCTGGGGGTGGGAGATGTGACCGTGTAGCAGCTTTGAAAAATCACCCTACCACCCCAGCCACAGTCATCCCACCCCATCACCCCAACCTCATTAATAATAATTAACATTTTCTGGAAAAGATAAAAAGGCACCACAACTCTTCAGCTCAGTACTTTTTTTTTTTTGTTTTTTGGCATGGTTAGAGCATTGTGCAATGAAAACGGAAATTGCTTAACCTATTGTAGTTAACCTTTCACTCTTGTTTGATTTAGCTTCTACATCAGTTTAAATATTGGAAATAAGTAAGAGAAACTGGATATAACAATGGAACAGCCTAAAATGATTGCAAGTGTATTGCTGCAAATCATGGAATTATAAATGTTTGTTCTCTTCACAGGTACAGGGCTCTCACATTTGTCCTGACTTTTATGCTGTATGCTAGTTTCCACTTATCAAGGAAACCAATCAGTATAGTTAAGGTAAGTAACAAGGAAATGTCTTTCTAACATATCTGACATCACACAAGGAAGTACATTTTAAAGCTACATAAAAGTGTTGTTACCATATGCGTTACAATACAGCAATAAAATGTGACATGCTGTACAGTAATAAAAAGACATTAAAATGTTCATAGTGATTGAGAGCCCACATGGAACATCCAGTTCTACAAGGGCTTCTGCACTGTGTGTACTATAAGTAGGTGTCTCATTGTCAAGATGCCCATGATCTGTGAAAATATACAAAGGCTATGTGTACAAAGGCAAATCAAAAGTGTCATTTATAGTGCTGTGAAATTGAAAATAAGTATGTACTCAGTCTTCAGATTTTGCCAGACTGTCTCCTCATGTTCATAGCCGGCAATCAAATTCCTACCCAGACCATAATCATGTTGCTAAGGCTCAACATTTCAATCCATGGCAACCAATTCTATTGGGATCCAATTTGTGTCTCATCTTTACTCATCTTTCGCTTTCTCTGTCCTAGCTAATTCACAATCTCTCTGTTTTATTATTTTGTTGTTTACACTCTCACTTCTGCCAAGGAGCTCAGGAAGGTATACATAGTTTTTTTAAGCCCCTTCATCATTTTAATCTCACCATCCCCTACCCCTGGTACCTTGCACTGAGAGAGTGCTATTGGCTCAAGGTCAGCCAATGAGCTTCCTGTCAGAGTGGGGATCTGAACCTGATTTTCCCTGATTCTAGTCTAATATTCTAACCACTACCACACAAGCATGTTTCTGCAGTCGTTCCTCATCCATCCAGAACTGTTCATGTTAACTAGGAACAAAATGAATGGATCAAGAATAAGTACACCATGCTCTCCAGATGCTGTTCGACTCCTAATTCCCATCAGCCCCAGCCAGTGTCACCAGTGAAAAAATACTGTGAGAGTTGTAGTTCAGCTACATCTGGAGTGCACTGTATTGACAACCTCTGCTCTAATATATCATTTTTGCAGACTTGTTCAGCATTCAAATAATGCTCTACAGGAACACTCACACAACCAAACCTCCAACATGGCAGTTATAGTGTTCCTACACAACAATATGTAATTATATATAGCCTAGACTAGTAAAATAATATATAATTTGAACCTTTGAAATATTCCTGTATCACATTTCTTCAAGGCAGTGGATCAGGGCTGCCATTGATCTGCTGGCAGTGGCGTAGCGTGGGGGGTGCAGGGGGGGCCGGCCACACCGGGCGCAACATCTGGGGTTAGGGCAAATCCACAGGTTAGGGGGCGCAAATCCATGGGTTAGGGGGCGCAAATCCACGGGTTAGGGGGCGCAAATTACTTGCCTTGCCCCGGGTGCTGACAACCCACGCTACGCCACTGTCTGCTGGATCCGAAACAAAACCATTCCAGCTAGACAGGAACTGGTACAGAAAAAGAATGAAATAGCTTCCCTCTCCACCTTTAGATACAGAGGCCAATCCACACTGCCTCACTACTCCTGACCGGAGCTTAGCATGGTTCTATTGTTCTATTTAAAATCTGCTTATGTTGACAACTTTCTGCCTGTATTTGATTTCTTTTACTAGTTCCACTCTTTACTGTATGGAAAACTGACTCGAGGCATGCAAGAGATTGAGTCATACTCTGTCAAATTTTGTCTCTTATTGCTTATGCATAAGAAAGAGGAGGCCTCATGGAAATTTGCAGTCTCTTAACATAACTAAATTTTCTTTTTAAAAAAAAAGAAAAAAAAAGCTTGCAAAGCTGGATTTCATTGAGGTTATTATTCAAACCTTTTTAAGGTTTTTGACTGGTAAATGTTTCTAAACAGCAAAACCTATTTTGAAGAGGGCCAGCCCAGGATGTTTTGCTCCAATACAGTCCCTCACAGTTCTGGGCCTGTGTTGCTTCTCTGCCGGTGCCATCACCTGCACCTCTGCGCCCCATGGGCACAGCAGGGAGAACACATGGAAGCACAGAGGAGGTGGCAGTGGCAGTAAGCAGTATGTTCCTCGGGCCCAGATCTGCCGTCTGAGGCAACAGCCTCAACTTGCCTCGTAGGTGCGCTGGCCCTGATTTGAAATATTGGTAAAGTAAAAATAGTTTATTTGGTTCTATGCAATGAGGTGTTCTGTTAGATTAATTGTATTACTTTAATTTAGGGAGAACTACATAAGCACTGCAATACTCCACAAGTTGTTGAGCATAACACCTACAAAGAATATGCCATCCAGATTCAGCCTGTTAAAAAAATTGCTAATGAGTCACGCTGTGGTTGGGAGCCATTTGGTAAGTAGGCTATCCCCCACCCCATAAACTGGAATATAATGTAAAGGAAAAATGTGTATTGTTTTGTTCTGCAATTCCTCACAGTTCTGTGCACTCCTGTATATAGGAACTGGTTTGTGGGGCAGGGTGGCTGGCAATAGGGGGAAGAGAATGCCCAAACTTTGTTATACAGTGCTAGTGGGAGACTCAGGCATGTTTGAAACTTCACCTATAAAAATAAATCTTGTACTGTGCAAGATGTTCCACTTTTTAAAAGCCTGGTACTATAATGACTATAAAGACTATAATGAATGCCCGTTATATCAAGCTGATCAATTTATTCATGAATGGTACAAACTGTGCAGGTATATAATTTGATTAAGCAGAATTTGCTTACGGAGCAAACTATTGTTTTAACCTGCTAGAATCCCTCTTTGAAGTTGCAAAGAGTCTGAATAGGTATTGTTCAGACTTTTTGATGGCTATTTGTGCCTTAAAAATTCCATCTCATGAACTTTAACAAACATGTGTTCCTAGATAAGAGCAACTACAAACAGTTGTTGGGAGCCCTGGATTATTCATTCCTATGTGCTTATGCAGTTGGGATGTACCTGAGGTAAAATTCTTTTACTCTTTTAAAAATCCTTTTTCATGCTTTCAAGTTGTAAATATATGATTGCTTAATCTCTGATCTTCTCCTGTGCTCAGTTGCTTACAAGCTTTTGAGGAGCGGAGGAAGGAATTATTGAAAAGAATAAAATTTAGGAGACTGTGTGCCCTAGGATTTAGGAATGTAGATTCTAGAGTACAGAATATTCCCTATTACAGTAGCTCACCAAAGCTGCTTAAAAAGGAACAAATTCAAATCCTGTCCCTACTGTGGCTGAGAAGAATCGATCGTGATTTCAGATGAGCACTATCAGCTCACGATTCGATTCTTGTTACTGAATACAAACCAAAAGGTTTGGCTTGAAATATGAAAACTGAATACAAACAACTTACGATAACGCAACTTTGTAAAGTTTCTCAAATTGTTCTTTTTATTATAGTGCTACTACAATGTTATTGGTAAACTTTGCATTTTCTGGATTTAAACCATAGCTTACCATGCAAATGCCCATGTAATATCTACAGAATTTTTGGGTTATATATGCTCAGCATGCTTAAAAAATCAATCCCTTTTTATTTTGGCTGAATTCAAAGTGGCATAATAGGTGAACGTTTGCCTATCCGGTATTATCTCACTGGAGGGATGTTTGCCAGCGGACTCTTCACTGCCATGTTTGGATTTGGTTACTTCTATAATATACACAGCCTGTGGTTCTACATCGTGGCTCAGGTAGGCACACCTGTGTTTCTTTTCTCACTTGGAATTTTCAGACATGACAAAAAAAAAGAAAAAAAGAACTGCCTTTCTGGAACTGCCTCAAAATCCACTTAATTTCCTATGACAACCTTTCCATAGCACCTCCTGTTCCAAAGGATAATGCAGGGGTGAGGAACCTTTGGCCTGTAGGCCAGTCTTGACCTACTAGGGGTTCAGATTTGGCCTGTGAAGTTGTCTTCCCTAATCCATGCCCACCTGCCTCACATGTGATGTTAGTTGTGACATCAGTTGTGGGCCTAGTAGAAGTGTAGCTGCCAATGCACAATCAGGAACTTTAAAATGTGTTGGCAAGGGAAAGCACTACTAAGTGTTGACCTGTTAGGAAGTCTATGACTTCTCTTTCATGCTGGCAGCACACGAGCTGTGGAAGCTGCTCTAGAGGAGCCTTTCCCAATCTGGCACCCTCTAGGTGTGTTGCACTGCAACTCCCAGCAACTCACCATTGTCTGTGCTGGCTAGAGCTGATGGAAGTTGCCATCCAAAACATCTGGAGAACAAAAGGTTGGGGAACGGTGCTCTAGAGCATTTGAGAATAAATGGATGGTCATTATTCACTTGCAGTCATTGGGACTGGCAAGTGTGTGGGGGAGGGAGTTGACATTGCTGTCTAGGAAACAAAGAATATATAACAATGAGGATTGACTAGGCTGTGCACTAGTTGTGTTTAACACAACCTTGAATATTATTTTTAATGTTGGCTTCTTGGACATACTGCATTATCTGGTGAAACAGTTGTTTCAAGATAACTATTGCAAGATAACTATTTTAAATTTCAGATGGCTAATGGATTGGTGCAAACTACTGGCTGGCCCAGTGTGGTTACCTGCATTGGCAACTGGTTTGGGAAAGGAAGGTAAATCTTTTATAATCTGTTTGTCTTGGGTGGGGTTGGACACATTGCAAACTAGGTGAAATAGTCTGCCTCATAACTCAGTAACTCACAGATTTTAAAAGCTATGTTTTACAGTGAAGTTGTGCCATTTAACATTCCTTGTTAGTGTAATCAAAGACAGTGACATATTAAGCGATTTGAAGTTCCTGAGGGGAAAGTGATAGCATGAGAAGTGTATATGGGGTCTTTGTTGACACATAGGCATAAAGGCATGTTAGAGGCACAACCCACTTGATACTGAAGCGCTTAGCTGAGAATATAGGAAATGTCTTGGAGAATAAGGATGCCATTCTTCAAGACTACTCGCAGGTTTTGCCAGCCATACATACTGGTCGTGTGCCTGTTCCTGTCTGCTGCTTTGGATTTGAATAGGAGCGCTTCAAGTTGAAGAAACCTGCATTTCAGGACTGCAGGGATGAGAAGCCCAGAGCAAGCCCTGAGACTAGACAAACTGAAGCAACTGCTCCCAGATGTTTCTCTGGTTGCTTGCTTGTTGCTGACCTGGGCTGGTCTCAACTACTTGCCTTCTTCCAATATGTCATGGGGAGTGCTGCTTGGAAATGCTCTTCTCTAAGCAAGCAGGCAGAGAGGCAGACAACATAGGTCACAAATGCTAGCAGGCACTGCTCTGCTCACATGATTCATGCAGGTGCTACTTCTGCTGCACTGCAGTTTTTTGTTGGAGCAGGTAGCGAGCGGGTGCCAGGCAGAGCGGTGAATGAATGATGGCAAGATGTTGGAGGTCACAGCTGTGTTGTGCCACCTAGCCTGCCCTGCACCCTGTATTCTAGCCTGCTACTCTCTGGTGTGGTGGAGGACGCTATCCCAACAACAGTGCTAAAGTCAAATTCAGTTGCCATGCTGGTCAACAACATCTGAATGGGGAATGAGGAGCTTCCATCTTGTCCTTCACCTTGGGCAGGCCAAATTCTTGGGCCAGTCCTGCATACATAGGAAAGCACATCAGAACCCAACACAAAATCTACCTAGACACCCCCCAACTCGAAGTATTTCAAGTACTGAAAACTTAAATGCACTAATGTCTCACCTGTGTAAAATGAATGTTGATGAGAAGTTCTAAAAGAGACCATTTTCCTTTATTTATTATAGGAGAGGATTGATCATGGGATTATGGAACTCGCACACTTCAGTGGGGAATATTTTGGGGTCCCTAATAGCTGGCTATTGGGTGTCTACCTCCTGGGGTTTGTCCTTTGTGGTGCCTGGCGTTATAATAGCTTCAATGGGGATTGTCTGCTTCCTGTTTCTTATTGAACGTAAGTACCTGTTCTGAAATGAATTTATGCAAAACTGAGCAGGTTCTGGGTTGCAATAAATGTAATTGATCAATATTGTTCATAGACCATACACACACAAAAATCCTCTAGCTTGTGCTGCATTAAAAAAAGAGGTTGAGTGTGCATGCCGGGTAAGTGGATGAATGGAGCAGAAGAATGTGTATGTCATTCTGCAATCTTATATCCTCACCTCCAGGTTTGGTTGCAAACCAAGATTATGGGTAACTTGGAGTTGACACAATGCAGTTACTAAAATTTGCATCCAGTCAGAAGCCTGCTTTCATGATAATCATGCATTTTTAGATATTGTGTGTTAGCAGCATTTTATAAAACAAACCATAAACATTTCCATGAGCGCTTGGAAGACATCCATGAATTTCTGTGTTTCTGTTGTGTTATTTCAGATCCTAGGGATGCAAACTGTACAAGTTCATCATCCAGTGTAAGTAATGACTTTTAGGGACCTCATTAATTGCATTTTCTCCATTTTCAGTTTCACAATACTAGTTTTCAACCAGCATATGTGGGGTATGGTGGGTGTACATTAAGGAGAAAAGCAGATAGTTCAGAGTGAAAGCTGGGGGGGTCTCATTTCCCCTCTTTTTCTTGAACCTTCTGCTTGAAAGACTTCTGTACACCTCAAAGGCTTGAAAGCACTACTTTCCCGTAATAAATCTATGTGAACCCCTCCCCCCAAAAAATCTGGGGTGGAAAATAGGGAAGTGTTCATGAAACACACACACACAAAAAACCCCACATGGGCCAAGATGAATGGGCTAAATATGTTTGCCTCATGTGCAGTATAAGGGAAAGTATCTGAGTTTATGTATTACCAAGCTTTCCAGTTGTCATTGCAGTTAAAAGAGAAAAAAGATTGAAGCCTAATCCTAATGTTTATTTAGATGCCTCATTGACTTTAATAAGGCTTTCCTTCAAGTAGGATTGTTCTTAATATCTCTTATAAAAATATCTTTCAGAATTCAAAAAGTTACATGAATGGGCCAGATAGATACACCATTCAGAAACCAGAATTAAGCGCTAAGAAAACAAGCTTATCTTGGGTAAATCAAAAATACTTTCATAATTAGATTTTTCAAAGCTTGCATGAATTCATATTTAAGCAAATTACCTTAATGCTTTGAGGGAGGCGGGATGATTGCATGAAGCAACATTTGCTTAATCACATATTTTCCAACTGTCCCTGTTTATGAGAGACAGATGTGACCTTCTGTTATCTGCCCTTGGTAAATCAGTGTTTCTATTTTGTCCCTTCTGCCTTTGGGAAGATTTGGAAGATGTATTTTTAAAAGAATGTTAGTATATATGCACATGTGCATAAGCTTCCCTTCCAGCCCTGTGCAACTGCATATCCTGGCAGTTAATTTCAGTGAATGTGTTTCAGTTTCAGCTATTTTATTTAATTAGAACCAAATTCATTGTGTGCTTAAGCAATGCATTCTCAAGTTTTTAACAGAGGACACTTATGAATACATGTGGTTTAGAAAGCATTGCAGAGAAATGTGGGTGTGCTGAGTAGCATGTAGACAGCAGCTTTCAGCAAGGAGTAATAATAGATCATTAGTATGAGAACAGGGGTGTTTTGTGTATGCAAGAGTGGCCCTGTCTTATCCTGCGAGATGTTGGAGGGCATGTAAATATGTATTTATTTGCTTCAAGTTAGCAGTGCAATAGGTATGTTTAGCAGTATCTTTCTTTCTGCAAAATTTATTGCCCAGTGGCTTATGCAGGGGCGCCGACTTATAAAAAATATTGGGGGGGCCCATACCGGGGTCCTGCCCCGGGAAGTTTTCTAAGTTCCAATGTCAGCGGCACCCGGCAGAGCAGCCCTCTCGGCCACGGCAGCCTGGCTCTCCCAGCCCCCGGGGGCCGCCCTCCTCCCTCGTGCACCCGCAGCGTTCCCGCCCGGGGAGGCGGCGCCCCCAAGGACTCAGGTTCGGTTGTACCTGAGAAGCCGAGCACCTTGGCTCCCAAACAAATCGGCTTCTGAACAATCGAAACCCGGAAGTGAGTGTTCTGGTTTTCAAATGATTTTTGGAGGGCGAACAAATGATTTTTGGAGGGGCTCCTCTGGCAGAAGCCGCACTCTGGTTTTCAAATGGTTCCAGGAGTCCAATGGACTCCCGGAACGCATTCTGTTTGAGAACCAAGGTACAGTGGACGCTCGGGTTGCGAACGTGATCCATGTGGGAGGCACGTTCGCAACCCGCAGTGTTCGCAACTCACATTGCTGCGTCTGCACACACACAGGTTGTGATTTAGCGCTTCTGCTCATGCACAAGTGCCGAAACCTGGAAGTAACCCATTCCGGTACTTCTGGGTTTCAGTGCATCCATAACCTGAAAATGCTTAAGCTGAAGCATCTGTAACCCGAGGTATGACTGTATGTACCAGTCCTAAGGAACTGGCCAAGTAAGGCAATCAGCATCTGCAGGTCCCTTGACAGACAGGAGAGAAGCCACACTCTTGGATTTCTGTTGGTAGATGCCTCTTCCTGAGATGCTTGTATTATGCTAATCATAGAATCATAGAGACAGAAGGGACCCCAAGGTCATCTAGTCCAGCCCCCTGCAATGCAGGAATCTTAGCTCAAGCATCCCTGACAGATGGCCACCTAGCCTCTTCCAGGGAGCAGAGACCGTCTGAACAGCTCTTATTGTCAGAAAGCTCTTCCTGATGTTGAGCCGGAAAAGTCTTTCAAAGCTGCTGCACACCTTTGTTTGGGGTCCTCCCCTCCTTGCAAATGTCAGTGGGAAGGAGGGCTCTGTTTCAACAGAAAAATAAAGATTCCCCCTTTCTTCCAGCTTCCACTCATTCGTCTCCGACTGATAATGGACTTGGGAGGCTTTGAGCCCCTTGGGGAGCTGAGCTGTAAAGGACAACCTCCAATTTTCATGCATCAGAAGGAGCCCAGGAGCCCCATCGGGGCTTACCCTGTGCAGGCTGGTTCCCCCCCACACACAAACACACACACTGGGTTGCAATTTTGTGGGTCAGCTTTGGCTGGGAGAGGCAGCCCCCGTTAAGTCTCTGCCAGCCCAATAGCACAGCCCCCCCGCCAAGTCCATGGCAGGAGACAGGCAGCAGCACCCAGACCCCAGAGGCTGCCCTTGGGACTGGCGTTCCCACACTGCCGCCTCCGCAACAAAGGCCAGCGGCCAAGTTCCCCCCCCTCCCCCAGCCGCTTCCTTAGTCCCACAGGAAAGCCAGGCAGGGGCTGCACATCCTGCCCTCCGCCTCTTCCTGCTGCCCCCAACAGACAACCAGGCCTGCAAGCTTCCTCTTCTGACATCGCCCAGGCCCCCACACAGCCCCCCACCAGCAAAACGCCCAGGAGTTTGAAGGGACCCGAGGGCCACGCAGCCAAGGGGTCTAACTCTGCAGGGAAAAGCTTCCTGTCTTTCCTCTGCCCCCTCCCCACCGGAAAGGGATGGTGGCTGCAGGCTCTGCCCCCCCCCTTAACATCTGCAAAATGATTAAGGCTGATACATTGTGTTACAGGATTTTATCTAGGTAACTTCCCTGAGCTGTCAAGTTGAAAGGGTACATTCAGGCATAATATTTGCAACATTTAACAACTTTAAAGATGTCCCCCCCCCCTGTAATTTCCATAACAGTTGGAAGGACAAAAATATAACCTCCTATGACAACTCCTGCAACCCATGAGCTTTCAGACAAAGATCATGCATGGACAAATGTAAAGATCTTTGGAAAGTATTGATCAAAACCACAGTAACAAACAAATCAATGTATCTTCAAGGGAAAGAATAAGTAGATCCATTTGCATATATAGCTCTGTAGGCTTAATGAGATTCCCACAAAACATTAGGAAGGCCTTTCTGGTGGTGAGAGCAGTCAGACAGGGGAAGGGGCTTTTAGGGAGAGGTCGGGGGGGGGGCATCTGCCAGGGATGCTTTAGCTGTGAGTCCTGAATTGCTGGGGGTTGGACTGGATGACCTTTGGGTCCCTTCCACCTCTATGATTCCATGACCTTTAAGGGAAGTCACCTCCATCTTCATCTCAGAGCAGATGCCCACAAGCCCTGGGCGGGAAGAGCCCGAGAGAGAGAGAGCCGGAGAGAGACAGAGAGAGAGAGAGAGAGAGCCCGAGAGAGAGAGAGAGAGAGAGAGAGAGAGAGCCCGAGAGAGAGCCCGAGAGAGAGAGAGAGCCCGAGAGAGAGAGAGAGCCCGAGAGAGAGAGAGAGCCCTAGAGAGAGAGCCCGAGAGAGAGAGAGAAAGAGAGAGAGAGAGAGACCGAGAGAGAGAGCCCGAGAGAGAGAGAGAAAGAGAGAGAGAGAGAGACCGAGAGAGAGAGCCCGAGAGAGAGAGAGAGAGCCCGAGAGAGAGAGCCCGAGAGAGAGAGAGAGAGAGAGAGAGCCCGAGAGAGAGAGAGAGAAAGAGAGAGAGAGAGAGACCGAGAGAGAGAGCCCGAGAGAGAGAGAGAAAGAGAGAGACCGAGAGAGAGAGCCCGAGAGAGAGAGAGAGAGAGAGAGAGAGAGCCCGAGAGAGAGAGCCCGAGAGAGAGAGAGAGAGAGCGCAGCCAAGCCCCCTTCACCGCCTGCCCCCCCCGCCAGCCCCCTCTCCCCTCCTCCCTAGGCGGCAGCTCCGCCATGACCACAAACGGCGGCGGCAGCAGCAGCAGCCGCGCGCGGCCCGGGCTCCCCTCGCCGGCCGCGGGAGCCAAGGCGCGCGATAATTTGCTTAAATTATGTCAGCGGCGCCCGGCAGAGCAGCCCTCTCGGCCACGGCAGCCCGGCTCTCCCAGCCCCCGGGGGCCGCCCTCCTCCCTCGCGCAACCGCAGCGTTCCCGCCCGGGGAGGCGGCGCCCCCAGGAGAGGCGGCAGCAGCAGCCGCGCGCGGCCCGGGCTCCCCTCGCCGGCCGCGGGAGCCAAGGCGCGCGACGAGGGAGCCAAGGCGCGCGATAATTTTTTTAATTATTGGGGGGGCAGAGCCCCCCCAATAAAATTTTTGAGGGGGCTCGGGCCCCCTCAGGCCCCATGGGGTCGGCGCCTATGGGCTTATGCAATATCTTATTGATTGTAAAACTAACAGCACCACCCAAATGTGGATAATGATTTAGCTCTCTGCACACAGAGAACAGGGTACACAGATTCTATGCACAAAAACCTGGACAAGAAAGTTCATAATAGCGTGAGCAGTAGCAACTATCCTTGACCAAGGTCTTCCACTTCTTCCTACAGACTCAGGGCTCCTCCAAATGGCCTGTTTGTTCAGCATTCATCCTGATTTGCAGGCGCAAAGCTTATGGGGTGCTCAGATTGCATCCAGTCTTTATTGTGATTTATTTCTTTCTGATTTGTTTGTGGGTGGTTATATGAAAATGAGCATCCATCCTTCATTCATTCTGATTTGCTCATGGTGTGCTTATATGTCTTCCTATTAATCACCCTACACCAGCGGTTCTCAACCTGTGGGTCCCCAGATGTTGTTGGACTACAATTCCCATCATCCCTGAGCTCTGGCCTTGCTAGCTAGGGGTGATGGGACCCACAGGTTGAGAAAGGCTGTCTTACACTTTCAAATACATGAGATGTTGCCTAGATACTACTTCACCAAAAACCCATAATCTAACGACCTACTTCCATATGAAGCTGCTATGTCCTACTGTCCAGTTAGCGTGTTTCCTCCTTTAAGAAAACACCTCTTGGAATGGGGCTAATTCTGTTAATATCTTGAGGAAAGACCTCCCCTAAGAAAGTACTAGCTAATAAGGCCATGTGGCATAAGCTTGAAGAAATCCATACATAATGGCATTTTTGTCAAGTTGAATATGTTATATGAGAACTGGTCTTGCGGCAGGTAACATGATTCCATAAGTAAGTTTAAATTGCTTCAGCCATTGGTGTTTCAAAAGTAGTTTATGGTTCCAATTAACCTATTAAAATGCAAAATTATTTCAGTACATTAACAGTACATTAATATATGATTGGCTTGGTTTATTGCCTTCATTGAACTTGATGGGGTCTTTTGTAGGATCCAGAGAAGCACTGCTTGCTCCCTGACAATGAGAAGTGCAACAAGTCACTGAATCATAACAATGGAGGCTGTGAGGAAACTGAAAACAGGAAGTCTGCTATAAGTTTTTCTGGAGCTTTGCGAATACCTGTGAGTATACGTCGCCATCTTCAAATCTGGACTGAGGCTTGGCCCTTATCTTTTTCAGAAGATGAAAGTAATAGTAATAGCTTCTACTATGTCAGCTTCTCCAGTGACAGTAGCCATGCCATGGAAACAAAACACAATGCATCAATCGGAGGTACCTTTTCCCCTCACTGGTTGTGTGCAATATCTGAACCATGAACCAGCCTGGGCCTCGCAGTCTTCAGCAAGGGCTTATGTGTGTCTCATCTAATGGAAATGTGGAGGGCAGCTACACAAGAATTGGCTTTTCCAGCTGTGGCTCCACATCTGTGGAATGCTCTCCCCACAGAAACACAGGCTAAGACATTTTTATTTACTCAGTATTTTGCTGATTGAGTTAACCTGTGGTGCTCTCCTTCTAGTGGGATTTCTCCTGCTTTTTGTATTGCTGGATGAACTTTTTAGTAATTTTGTATACCTTTCTAAATTTGCCTATTAATTGTTTTTTTCTGTTTGTATATTATTTTAAGTCATTTTGAGAAATTTCTTTTTTGTATAAAATGACTAAGAAACTCAATGATGAATATTGGCCCGGATATAAGTTGTACCTTTAAAATTGGAGGGGGTGGGAATAAAAAAGTATGCTTAAAAATTTTTTTTTTAATCTTCTGTTCTCTGTAGGGAGTTGTAGAATTCTCTCTCTGCCTGTTATTTGCCAAACTGGTCAGCTACACTTTTCTTTTCTGGCTTCCATTGTACATCACAAATGTAGGTAAGTATCTGTGTTTAAAGAATCATGTATATGTGATCCACATAAAGATAAATGTATTCCGAAGTAAGGTAAATGTTAAAAGGTAAAGGACCTCTGGATGGTTAAATCCAGTCAAAGGTGACTATGGGGTTGCGGCGCTCATCTCGCTTTTCAGGCCAAGTGAGCTAGCATTAGTCCTAAGACAGCTTTCCAGGTCATGTGGCCAGCATGACTAAACCACTTCTGGCACAACAGGACACCATGGCGGAAGCCAGAGCGCATGGAAACGCCGTTTACCTTCCTGCTACAGTGGGAAGTAATGGCTGACAAAAGGGAGGATAGTATTATCAAGGTGGATATTATTCTTATTATAATTTATATCCTGCCCTACCTCCCAATGGAGCCCCCCCCCATGATAATCGGAGGTTAAAGCAAGTAAGTGGGTCTCTCGCTCACCCAAAGAGACCTCTTGTGTACCCAAAACCAGTGCTAATGATGATTGCGTCCTCCTATCAGCTGATGTAATAGGAGGGCGGTCCTGCTTGATTTCGCAGGGCATCATTACTATACTTTGCAAAATCAAGCCAGATCACCCCCTTCCAACCATGTAATTGCTAATAGCAGCTTTGGAAGCTGGTGAGTTACCCTGGGAAAGAGTAAAGCACCCATTTCCAGATCACCATTTTTGCAGCCTTGAAAGTTGCCCCATAGGGCTGCTAGTTATCAAAACAAAACACTAGTCATGGATCTGCCACACCACATCTGGGTTTGCCCTGAATAACTTGGAACAGATACCTATTTTGTACACGTTATAATATGTAACCTTAATTCTTAGTGCCACCTGCCAGCTTGTTAAACTTATATCTTGCCTTTCTTCCATCATGAACACAAGACCCCCAGATATAGGGAGCAGTCAGCCAGTTTTGTGGCTCCTGAAAAAAATCTAAGCAATTCCTTTTTTTTATTTCCTTCACTGACAGAACATATTGATGCTAAACGAGCAGGCGATCTATCCACACTATTTGATGTTGGAGGAATCTTTGGTAAGTTTGCGACTTAGTGTTTGATATTGCACACACAGAATCTATATGTTTCTGAACTGACTTGATATTCTTAAACACAGAGGCAAGAGCTATGGAGAAGAGCAGGTGGTGGGAACTGGTCAGACAAACTGAGCTGCTGAGCTGAGAGAGAGAATATTAAGCAGATGATGGTTTTTGTAGCAGGTGGAGCACAACAAAATGTAATACAATATTTAAACCAATTCACATCTAAATACCTACATAACTAATACAGCAGTAGCGTCGTACTCAAAACTGACTTCACCCATCACAGATCTCTACCTCTAAAGCCTTATGAAAGAAGTGTGCAAAACAAGTACACTGTCAAGGTAAATTACATCTCGGTGGGGAGAGCGATCGAAAAGCCTATTCACAGGCCCTTGTACTCCTCATTCCCAGCAGAGACCACCAAGAGAGCCTTGCCTTCTGATTGAAATTAACAGTCAGGAATAAACAAGAGTATTACCTTTGCTATGCTCCATTTCAGACATTGGCAAGAAATGTTGTAATTTAACAAATTTATATACCACCCTTCAAAAATAACATTCTTCCCAAGGCAATTTACAGACTATATCAACATACAGACAAAAAAATAAAATTAACACTGCTTAGACTATATTGATCGCCTGAATCAATTGTTTATCAAAACCAACAATACTCCAGCAAAATATAACATAGTACCAAATAATGCAACTACCAGAATTAGGCAAGATTATCAAATCTCCAGCCAAACAACAACTTATTGCAACAAGCCATGAAAAACGGTGAGTTTTTAATGCCACTTGAAAGTGTCCAAGGATGAACCCTGCCTGATAGGGATTTAAAGGTCAACAGCAGTACTTTCAGTTCAGACTCAAGTGCCGGGCTCCAACCAATTTCTGAAGCACCTTTAAAAGGCAGCCTCATGTAGAGTGCATTATGGTAGTTTAGTCTGGATGTCACTATTGCATGGATGTCTGTGCTGAGGTCCAGTGGGAAATGATGGTGGGCATGTAGAGATTGAAACTGAAGAGGCTATGGGAGAAATAGATTTGGGAGCATTCTGCATAAAAGTGGTAGCTGGAACCTTCAGAACAGAAAGATTACTCAATGAAAGAGTACAGAGTAAAAAAAATTGGAATGCATGAGCCCTGCAAAGGTTTGTCTACTCTAGCATCCTGTTTCCTTCAGTGACCAAACTGATACCTCTTGGTAAAGCAAGGCCTGTCAAGGTTTCCGCAGTGGCTGGGAGGGGCCTTACAAGGTTGGATCTCCCCCTGCGAATTCAAACTTATTTCTTCATCCCCTGAGAAGGAGACCTGAAACTTCCTAAGGTCCCTGGGACACTTTCTGAGGGACCACAGGAGTGTGTTCTAAAAAAGAAGAAGAAGAAGAAGAAGAAGAAGAAGAAGAAGAAGAAGAAGAAGAAGGGGAGAAGATGGACATTTTGTGCATTTGTGCTTTTGGGTTTCCCACGGGTATCTGGTTGGCCACTGTAAGAACAGGACGCTGGGCTAGATGAGCCCTTCTTATTTATTCCACTTTGATCAATTACATTGTAGAAATTATTGGCGATAGTACTACTGGCTTTGTTGATGAATAATATATGCAGGGCACTTCTTTAAGAAAACAAAAGGATGCCCTTTATGGGTAGTGTCTAATGTAGTTGCAAACATGTCCTCACTTAGAGATTCAGTTCCCCTAATCTTTTTCCACAGGTGGAATTTTGGCAGGCATAATATCAGACAGACTGAAGAAAAGAGCTACAACTTGTGGCATGATGCTTTTGATTGCAGCACCCACGGTACGGCCTGCTGTTTCAACTACAGAGATAAAATTAGATGTGTCTGCTAGCTGGTGCTGATTTAGCGATGGAGGGGTGGATTTTTAATGTTCTGCTGTTGAAACTGTTTAAGTGACTTTGTTCCCCACTGAAACATAAGATTCTCTTCCCCCTTGAAGGATTAGCCTTAACTAATGTGAAAATTACTATAAAATCCTAGAACTCGCCTTGCATCCTGCATAGCAGAGATCTATAGTCGCTTCGTCAGGCCTGTCGTCGGGTCCCTCAATGCAAAATAATGCAGATTTATTAATTGATACCCAGCAAAGACAACTGATCTTGTTATTGAAAAGTTAAAGTTTCATGATGAGTTGAGCTAACTGTTGCTTTATGTCTACTTTAGCTATACCTATTTTCAGCAATCAGTAAAATGGGCTTTGAGGCCACCATAGGTGAGTTCTCTGTTTTCTAGCATTATTTTTTTAACCTATTTGGGATGATTAAAAATATATCTGGGAATGCATTTCATAATATATTATAAAATATAAGTACTGAACGTAGGTCTAAGATGGTCGCTCCTCATGGTATTTATAGACCAGTTCTGTTTTGTTTTGTTGTTTTCCCCCCAGTCGAGAATCATCTGCTCGTGAGAGCAGTGTAGCTCATGAAGCACAATCTCACATATCAATCACAGCAACATCAGTGATCTGGAGCCTAAATTGCTTCTCTGCTAATAGCTTTCCTTTGCAAAAGCTAATGGAAGATAGTGGAATTAACTCTACTCCCTTAATTCAGCGCATGTTGTCTTGGATGTATGAACTCCTTACTGTAGTCTCAAAACACATACACAGAGGGGCTCTAGCCAACCGATAGTAATCATGTGAATGTCTGGGGGGGGGGCGGTGTGACAGGTGAAATATACTTCCATTTCTTTCTTCCCCACTGCATTTAAATATATTTCCTACTTCCTTACTTGGGACTGACAATCTGGAACTGGAAATAAGTAGTACAGATAATTTTCAGCCATAGTTTTACTTAGTATACCTAAATAGTAATTACTGCTTTGGAAGGGTCTAATATAGTAAGTAGATCATTGCAGTGTTGCTGTTTGTGAGTTGCGTAGTCACTAGTAGCAAATAGGAATTAGCTGCTAAAGCTCAGGACTGACAGACTCAGAAGTACAGCTCAGCAGCAAGTGGCTTGCAGATAGCATCCTTTGCCAACTTACGTACATGTGAGCTGCTCCCACTGAACCTAATGGGGCTTAACCTCAGGTAGACTTACATAGGATTTCACTGTGTGCCTCTCTTTTGCCTTTGGAGGCCTCCTGGTTCTACTAAGGTCCAAAGTAAGCAGCAGCAGCAAGTTATTGAGTTCTGTGCTTGTTCTCACTGTGGGAGAGACAGGTACAAGGACTGATTGCCATCATTTGCCTCGCAATCGGCAAATAAATGTGGCAGAAGGCAAGGCAGGGCAGATATGGCAGCAGTGTGTCTTATGCAGACTACAACACAACACTCTGCTCTTATTTGCCCCCAGTTCTTTCTGTTATCCATACCTTCTCATCCTTAATTTCCAAGGCTGTGTTAAGTTGAATGTCTGCTCATCAGCTCAGTTTTACCAATAAGTCAAATGAGGATAAGAATGCCAGTCCCCTCTGTTACGTAACTTCTCCCATGCTTTCATTTCAAATATACACCAAGAACAATCCACTGGCTATTTATTACTGGGTGACCATTTTTTTTTACCTTATAAGGTATTTTGGAAAACAGAGCTTCCACTGTTTATAATTTCATGTCTGTTTGAAATAAATGTGCATTGATTAATAGATCTTTCACCCTCCATGTATTGTTAGAGCGAGCACAAATTCTGAAAATCTGCTTGTTGTGTTTAATCTCATTTCAAGTTATGCTGCTCATCAGTGGAGCTCTTGTAAATGGCCCTTATGCGTTGATCACAACAGCTGTCTCAGCTGACTTGGTGAGTATGTATCTGTCTTAAATGTTCAGGTTAGTTCTCATAATATATTAGTCATTTTCGTTTTAATAAGAACAGGGACACATGAAAGGAGGAGGCATAATGTTCTAGAGAAGGACAGAATCCATAGGCCAGCATGGCTTCCTCTCTCCATTAGCCTTGAAGTGTGTGAGTTGAATGGCCCCTTGAAGAAGATCCTCACTAATCTACAACTGGGTTTATGGTGGTGTATCCAGTATCTGTATAATCCAATAGGAAACAATTTGAGAAGAAGGAAGTTAGGAAAGGCTCCTGTCTTGACATAAAGCAAGTTCCAGTATATGGTTTTAAGGAGGAGTTCAGAAAATACAAAAAAAAATTCCTTCCAGTAGCACCTTAAAGACCAACTAAGTTAGTTCTTGGTATGAGCTTTCGTGTGCATGCACACTTCTTCAGATACACTGAAACAGAAGTTGCCAGATCCTTCTATATAGTGAGAAGGTGGGGAGGGGTATTACTCAGAAGGGTGGTGGGAATGGGTGATTGGCAGATAGCTGTGATGAGCCTGTTGACGAGTCTTAACTAACTTAGTTGGTCTTTAAGGTGCTACTGGAAGGAATTTTTTTTGTTTTGACTATGGCAGACCAACACGGCTACCCATCTGTTTCAGAAAATACGTTTTATTTATCCTTTAATGTAAATATTGGAAAAGTCTTCTTTCTTTGCCGATCACTCGTAGCCAAGTAAGATTGTCTTCCATAAACACGGTTTTAACAATGAGTCCATAGGTGACTGGGACACGGGTGGTGCTGTGGGTTAAACCACAGAGCCTAGGACTTGCCGAATGGAAGGTCGGTGGTTCGAATCCGGGTGAGCTCCCGTTGCTCGGTCCCTGCTCCTGCCAACCTAGCAGTTTGAAAGCACGTCAAAGTGCAAGTAGATAAACAGGTACTGCTCTGGTGGGAAGGTAAACGGCATTTCTGTGTGCTGCTCTGGTTCGCCAGAAGCGGCTTAGTGATGCTGGCCACATGACCCGGAAGCTGTACGCTGGCTCCCTCAGCCAATAAAGCAAGATGAGCACCGCAACCCAAGTCGGCCATGACTGGACCTAATGGTCAGGGGTCCCTTTACCTTTACCATAGGTGACTGTGGAGGCCAATTCTGGATCCACACGTCCTTCCACAGTGGGGACATTGGTTTCCGGGTGGGAGTTGATCACGGTGTGGATTTGCCAAGCGTACCTTCCTCTTAGCACGTTTCTACCTTGCGTCCTGAGTTCGAGTGTCTTCAAAGCCCATGACACCTTTGGTAAAGGCTGTTCTCCAACTGGAGCGCTCACAGGCCAGTGTTTCCCAGTATTGGAAAAGTACCCCAGTCTACAGTTACTCAACACAACCGTGTGTAAGAATTTTTACTTGCTGATCTGTGGTGGTAGTGGGACTACAAGATAGAGGAACATCAGAAATGGCCCAAATGCAAAAGCATTTAAGAGAAACTGTTGTAATGTCTAGTTTTGATTGATGTAGGTTGAGCACCCCCAGATCCACCCATTCAGCTTTGTGAAACAAAGACTATTTATTTAATTTATATTCCACCTCTCTGTCCTAAGAGCTCAAAAAAAGTGGAACTGTATAAATGAGAAATGATTGTTAATATTGCTACTATCTGTGCTAACATTATTAAGGTTTGAACATTTTGTTTTTAAAGGGTACCCATAAAAGTCTCAAGGGAAATGCAAAAGCACTCTCCACTGTTACAGCTATCATTGATGGAACAGGTTCAGTAGGTAAGCTTTCGCTCCCAAAATATCTGCCTTAAGAACAAAAGTTCAGTTGATGGGCCTAGTTGTAGAATGACTCTAAGTGTAGCTGCAGACCTGGAAATCTTTGCCCATCACCCCTCAGTTATTTTTCAATGGAAATCCAAGCACTTTCCTGGAACATCTCAGAGCGTTCCCCCCCCCCCCCCGCTTTGTCGCTTTCCCCAGAAAAACCCATCTTTACCATTTAATCAGAGCAAATGGCAAATCCGGTTTTCCACAGATGACCATTTGCTTCGATTCAGCGGTAAATAACTGGTTTTCACAGGAAAAGCAGAGGGCCAAAAAAGAAAAGCGGTCAGACCTGGAAAGTCCAGACCTCTGTCTTGAAATGCAGAGCAAAAGTAAGTGTGGACGAGCCCTCTGTCCTCTCCCATTTCAAGAGGAATATTTGTGGTTTTATGAAGCAGTGGCGACATACCTAGAAGCCACTTCCGAATATGTTATCGATGTTGAAATCTCAGGAACGTATAAAATATTATGCAGCCTGTCAGATGTGCTGCTTCTTGCACTGTATTGCTTTAACCCGTGTGTCCTGTGTTTCAGGTGCTGCTCTGGGACCTTTGTTAGCTGGTCTCCTCTCTCCTTCTGGTTGGAACAATGTGTTTTATATGCTGATGATAGCAGATGCTTGTGCCTTGCTAGTAAGTCAAAGTATGGAATAGTACCATATTTCTGTGTCCTGTAGGCTCCTTTGTTAAAATGTAGAGTTCAGTTTAATGCGTTGACTGCATTGATTTCATAGAATCGTCAAATTGTAGAGTTGGAATGCAGGAATCTCAACTAAACCATCCATGGCAGGTGGCCATCCAACCTTTGCCTAAAAAATCTACAAGGGAGGAGAGTCACCACCTTCTGAGGGAGTCCATTGCACTGTCGAACAACTCACAACATCAGAAAGTTCTTCCTGATGTTGAGTCAGAATCTAGTTGTAGCTGTGTAGAGTTCTATTTAATACTTTTAATGTCTCATTTTCCCAAATGGCTTGATTTATATTTCCATTCAGGAGTGCAACTTACACAGTATATCACTGTTTTATAGTGCTTTTTTATCGCAAAGGTACTATGCTGTAGTCTACATGATCAAATTTCCTCCTTAATTTTAATATAATTGGGTTTCCTAAAATAAATGTGATGATGTTGAGGTAACTTGTTCTGATTTTCTCAGCTCCATGGGTAGGGAGATGGACCTCATTTTTAAAAATACATGTAGAGAATGGGAGCTTTGGTCTCCACTTGTGAGGTTTGAATTGTTTTTGAGCATCTCTCATGCTATAAATATCTAAATGTCTGGCTACTGTTAATGCAAAAGTGAAAGTGGGAAAGAGGCACTTGAATATAAATGAGTTGTCCAGCCAACATAGGTTTTTTAATTCACATTTCAAGCTGATTGAAGCAATTACTGTTAGAACTTCTCTAAGCCTCCTACATAGACACCATTAACGGATATATATATATATATATATATACACACACACACACCGTATTTTTTGCTCTATAAGACTCACTTTTTCCCTCCTAAAAAGTACGGGAAAATGTGTGTGCATCTTATGGAGCGAATGCAGGCTGCACAGCTATCACAGAAGCCAGAACAGCAAAAAGGATTGCTGCTTTCACTGCGCAGCGATCCCTCTTGCTGTTCTGGCTTTTGAGATTCAGAATATTTTTTTTCTTGTTTTCCTGCTGCTGAAATCAGTAGTTATGCTAACATAACTACTCTCCTTCTGGTTGGAATCCAACCTTGCTAGGGCCAAAAATATATATATCATAATTTCCTTTGAGAGAATCGTTTAAGTTCTCTGCAACTATTCCTAATTGGAAAACCCTCTTGCAATGTAAACTTTGTCTTTGAGGATTAATTCAGTAAGTTTTATAAAATCTTATATGTAGCTGAAATATGCAATTGTTTGCACATAAGAATTATTCATATTTAACCACCACCTCCCTATGAAAGCATTAGGTTACCACAGTAATATTGGTTATAGTAGAAACTATCAAAGATAGAACCTTTAAAAGGCAGGGGTAGGAGCTGCAAGTATGCTTTGGTAGTTTTTTGTGTCTTCACATTTCATTTAAGGAAGCGGTAGGGAATTGGAGATACTAAAATGGTTCCTTCAAGAGTTAATACATTGAATCCAATTTGTAAAATCAAGCCTCATTTATGCATAAGGGTTTCAATAATCCCCCACCCCAACACACACACATACCCTGAGTTGATGAACCTTTTCATCTCTGTTTGTAGCTCCATCTTCTGAAATATTACTGAGAGGACAGTCCTTTTTGGAGATTGGCAAAATGTTATTGTTGTTGTTACTTTTTTTAAAAAAAACTTTCTCATTTTTACTTTGCTCTGCATAATAATCCTTCTGTTTTTCTCAAGTACAGTGTTTGTTTATAATTTGAGTATTATTGCAGAAGATGCAGGCGATTTGTGTACTTGTGCACGTCAAATGAATTTAGTGCTGAGAATGAACCACCAGCGACCATTGCATTGCTAGGTTTCAAGGAGCCTAGGGCAATTTGCCCTGAAGAGGCCTGAATAGCCAGTTACCCTGGTCCCTCCACATCTGCTGCCTGCTTTCACCTCATTCCCCTGATTGCCCCACTTTTTCTCAACACACCCACCCCACAACTTATCAGATGGTGTTGGAAAGGGAATGGGAGGGGTCCTTTGCTACTGTTTTAAACGTTGTGTGGCAGCAGACACACTGTTTAGTCAAGCAGTGGCTAAGCCAAATTCAACAGTGCAGGACCTCGGTGTGCCTGCCATCATTAAACTTAGTTTAAAAGTTTGCCGAAAGAAAAATAAATCCTTTCCCTTCTCAATTCCTCCTGGAAGGAGAGGGGAATGGCGCTGCAAATTCCAGGGCCGCCTTTGTAGGCTCTTCTAAGCAGGTGGCATCAGGAAGGGGTTCATTTTTCTTTCTGTTCCTCTTTTTAAAACGGTTTCTCATGGGCATCTAGCAGGCTGCTGAACCAAGTCCTTGACCTTTCCGGCTTCAGCACTGTGTACAATTTCCCAGAGTGCTAATCTCTGAGCAAAACCCTCTCTGGCGTAACAAAGATGGCAACAGGGACAGCTGCAGTCAGCTCAGCAGGTGTTTTGCTGCAGAAGTGTTCTTAAATTACATGCACACAAAGCTCTTGTGAATAATAATAATAATAATAATAATAATAATAATAATAATAATAATAATTTATACCCCACCCATCTGGCTGGGTTTCCCCAACCACTCTGGGCGGCTTCCAGCAAAATATTAAAATACAATTAAAAGCTTCCCTAAACAGGGCTGCCTTCAGATATCTTCTAAAAGTCAGATAGTTGTCTGTTATCTGTTATCTGATATCTGTTATCTCTAGTAGTCATTTACCCACTCTACTCTAGGGTCTCTCCAGTGCTATTTTTCTTTTAAAAAAAATGTTTAGGGGTACTCTCATTTTCCTACTCATATTGAAATACTGCCCCTCAATGAGGGCAGACTTTGCTTCACAAAATGTTTAGGGGTATGCATACCACTGCGCCCTGCCCCCCCCCCAAAAAAGGACTGGGTCTCTCCCTCACAGTTCCTTTATATCAGAGAGATAAACCTGGTTACTTAAGGAAATGATGGTGATACCCTTTCAGAATAGTGTAAGGACAACCCAGTTAGCACATCAATCTGTTTCCCAATAGGCTTGCGCTCCCTCTACTGGGCTCTTCAGCAATTTGCGGCTACAGTTTTTGCTTCTCTGAACTTACATTTACACTTGGTCTCAGACATAATACAGTGGTACCTCTGGTTACGAACTTAATTTGTTCCGGAGGTCCGTTCTTAACCAGAAACTGTTCTTAACCTGAGGTACGACTTTAGCTAACGGGGCCTCCCGCTGCTGCTGTGCTGCTGGCGCGCGATTTCTGTTCTCATCGTGGGGCAAAGTTCTTAACCCAAGATACTACTTTCAGGCTAGAGGAGTCTGTAACCAGAAGTGTTTGTAACCCGAGGTGTTTGTAACCCAAGGTACCACTGTACTGTGCATGGTTCATTATGCTGCATATTTGGCTAGCAGATTAATATGTCATGCATTATACAGGGGCTATAGTGGGCTTTTGGTGACCAGTGGATTAATTTGTATGTCCAGTGCTTAAAAAGGGGCAGTTGTTTAAATTAGGGACTTCCAAAACCTTTTGTTTGCCAAGCTCCCCATATGAAAAAATTAGGTCCATAGTGCATCCTGGCCCCTTTACACTAGAAGATGGGAATCTGCCACTAATCCATAAACAGCACTTTTATCCAGGTAACCCAAGTACCTCCTTTCATTTCTTTGCTTCGGGTACCTGGCCTACAGAGATGTATCCACATTAGTTTGTTGTAGCAAGAACAACAAAAGAGTATTGTGGCCCCTTAAAGACTTTAAAAATTATTGTGACATAAGTTGCCATGGTCTTTTGTCAGCGTCCTAGGAGAATTCATTCCCTCCAGTCTGCCCTTACTTTTGCCTGAATGCTGTCCAGTCCCTCACTTTAAGACACCATCTTTATTTACATGAAGAATTCATGTCAGGCGCCATTTTTGCTCCTGACACTGTTTTTATTTTATTTTATCTATACAGTTCTTGCTCCGCCTTATACGAAATGAACTTCGATGTAGTCTGGATCGCACCCTGTAAGTTTTGGCTTAACTTCCTGTGTGCCAATACATTATGTTTACATTATATTTAGCTAACATATCTTTCCATTCAACAACAACGTGGCAATTTTCTTTCTTTTTCTATGTTTGGATTTCTGTACTATTTATCAGCTTCTCAAGTAATTGTTTGAAAATGTTTTATTTATTTATTTAAAAAATCTTTTAGTTGTTGCAAGAGCAGATAAGATGAGTCCAAATATCTCTGATACTTGTTTTCATGTTATTTGTTGCCCTTTTTTAAATTGCAAGTTCTTTGCTTCCTAGGCTGTGGTCTAGAAAAGGTCTAGATACTCACGGTCTTCTTCCAGTTTGTAAAATGCCTTTTGCCAGCAGGAGTTGCTGCAGCAAACATCTCCTTCAGCACACGTCACTCTCTTTTTATGCATACACCTTATACTTTCCTACCACTAGGAAAATTACAAACGTGTGAAATTAAAGTGGAACTGGACTGTGTCCATGTCTGATTCTGCAGCTGGTCTGAGGCACACTATACTGATTCTTGATAGGCCTGGACAGTAAGGAGTTTATAAAACCAATACTCTACTGCACAAAGTTTCTGTTTCATTCCATTTCAGGGTGCTAAATATAGCCAATTATGCTAGTAAGGAGCTTGGGCTCTAGATGATTTGCAGTATATGTAGCCACTCAGTATTGAAGAGCAACGGGAAGGGCTTTCCCTTACACTAGCCCTAATCCAGTGAGATAACATCCCCTTTTCCAAAAGCTATTGTACACCACTTTTGGGTTAGTTAAGCTTTTAGCGGCCAGGAATGGACATATAAATGTCTTAGCTGTTTTATTTATTGATTATTGATTTGATTTTATTGATTTCATTTATGAATCTATATATTAAATATGAATAAAGACCATGATGGGATGTGGGTGGCGCTGTGGGTTAAACCACAGAGCCTAGGGCTTGCCGATCAGAAGGTCGGCGGTTCGAATCCCCGCGACGGGGTGAGCTCCCGTTGCTCGGTCCCTGCTCCTGCCAACCTAGCAGTTCGAAAGCACGAAGTGCAAGTAGATAAATAGGTACCGCTCTGGCAGGAAGGTAAACGGCGTTTCCGTGCACTGCTCTGGTTCGCCAGAGGAGGCTTAGTCATGCTGGCCACATGACCCGGAAGCTCTACGCCGGCTCCCTCGGCCAGTAAAGCGAGATGAGCGCCGCAACCCCAGAGTCGGTCACGACTGGACCTAATGGTCAGGGATCCCTTTACCTTTACCTTAAAGACCATGATAGATAATTATATTTAATTAAAACAGCTGTTCCTTGCCCTGAGCTATTGTGAGTTGTCACTCGGAAAGCTAAAAGGCAATTAATAGGGTGGTGGGGCTTCCTACTTCGAAGGTAGTAATTACTATATATCAAGATGTATCAGCTCTTGTTTCTTGACTGCTGGTATCCTTCGTTCTCTTGTAGGTTTAAAGAACACTGAATTTCCGGAAACAAGTAAATTAAAATGATTGTTTTTTTGAAGACTTTGACTGTGTTCCAGAGAACCTATTTATGACCCACTACCAAGAAGGAGGCTGCTGTGCTTGAAAATGAAGTAGGAGTGGGGAATCCCAGTTGCACATATTTCTCTGGATCCTGGTCTTTGTGGATTTTTTGTTGCTGATTTTTTGTTGCATTTTAGCTGCATTTTCTGAACAGATTTGCACGATTATGGGAAGAAGGTTTCAAAATTCATCTCCGCTCCTCCCTCTTTATTTTGCACATGTACCAATATCTCAGGAAGGAGAGTGTCCTCAAAGAAAGGAGCTATTAACTGTTTTATGGACTAACTGAGCCAAAGAAAATGCGCCTTGATACTGATTTTGTCTTAAGTAAGTTTTATGTTACATGATTGGTTTCATTTAAAAAAAAAAGAATGCAAACAGATCTAAAGGAAATGGAGCTAACTTTAGATGCTTGTTTGCAGTGTGCTAAGAAGAATTAGCAAAACATTGAACAAAGTGTCCTTCATGTTATGTCTGATCTTGCTAAGAATGGCTGTTGCTGGGTATCTGATATTTATTCTGTTATAAGAAAGCAGGTTGTCCTATTATCCAGCATAATCAACTAACTTTTCATACTGTACAGTTTCAAAACGATGTTATTCTGTATCTAATGGGTTGGAACCTGAAGTGCCACGTATATATGGTGGTTACTCTGCAATTGTCCAGTCCCCTGCTTCTGAACCTAATCTCATGGAGTCAATAACTGGAGAACAGTACCCTTTCCTATTATTATTTATTTAATAAGCAGTACCATCTAGACTTCTGGGTAACGCTGATTAAAAAGAAGGGTCACTAGCCAATCCAGTTATGGCAGGCCTTGTCTTATAAGGCTTTAAAAAAAAATTTGTTGAGGGTGTTATCATAAGAAGCACAAGCAGTGTAGCATCTTTGGTCTCCTCTAAAATTGCTGGTCAAATTTGGTGGCCAATGATTGGTTTGGAGAGTTAAGATTGCTTTGGATCAACCATTCCAGAGTGCTCACTCTTAACTGTACAAGCCAGGATTTCCCCCTTCATTTTGTATATGCAGAAAATAATGTTGCTTGAGGCCTTAGTCACTCAACAATTGGGACCAAAACATTCTGCTGAGTATTTTCATTATGACAATTGGAATAGTCGCAATATTTTCTACAGCGTAAAAGTCTCAATTTGTATACAAATTGCATATTTAAAAATAATTTAGATAAGAAAGGAAGAAAGAAAAACACGTATATTTTATCCCAAAAAAGCACAAGTGTTAACTGTTTGTTGTAGTACTTTCCCCCCGTTCATCCTTTTAAATTCCAGAGAATTTGAAGTCTGTCTCTGGTCTGCAAAGATGTATAATAGAACTATTTTATTTAAAAAGGGACTCATATTACATGCTGTTCAATTGTTTTAGTATTTTTCAATATGTATACTGCTACTGATGTATTTATTAAAGTTCAAAATCCAGTTTTTCCCCCTTTTGGACCATCAGGACTATGTTTAGTTTTTATTAAAGTTCATAAACTTACCTATTTTCCAAGAATTGTTTTCTTACTTAATACAGTGTACACCAAACTTGAACCGCAAGGCAGAGGCTTACATGAAGATATAAATCCCATTATCAGTTAAGTCAGACAGAATTAGTGGATGTATCTAAAGTCCTACATTCCGTATCCTCATTTCCCTGCTCATTGTGGCTACTTTAAAATAGCCATGGTTTTCGTAGTTATGTGTACAACTTGAGTAAGCATAGCCATGGGAAATCTCAGACATGTAAGCCAAACTTGGCCTGGTGGAGGCCCTCCCTCACATCTGACATCATAAGATGTCATAAGATGCCTGTGGTTGAGCAGTAGATACATAGCTGCAAAGAAACAGCCTCAGAGCAGCTTTTAAATGCAGCCCCTGCTGGTATTGGTTCTGCTCAGGAGCTTTGCTTCCACAACAAACCCTTCCAAATGCAGGTCTTGCAGTAAGAACATTTACTGGAGTTAAAAGGTCACCTTTAAATATTTGTTTTCATGCTGTGTGCATCTTCGTTACCTTGCCATACCTGACAAACTACACAGTCTACTCACTTCTGATTAGTCCCATTGAATTCATTAAATAGTAAGCATGTACTGTATAGAATTTGTTGCCTAAATTTGTGACCAAATCAGATGTTATATAGAAGTTACATGAGCAGTCTCCCAATTATTATTTTTCTTTTGCTGAGTAGCAGCCATGAAAGGCTGCCAGCTTGAGTGGAGAAATGATATGTGATGGGGCTGCTCAATTCTTTCCTGTCCCGCTGTTTATTCTAAATTTCTCTTCCTGAACGGCCTTTTCTCCCTGCAAAGGAAAATATAGGTGCACCCTATATATTCTACCCAGTGTCACAGTGGGGATGAGAATGATTTTGAGTAGGAAAATGGCAGAAAAGTGAAGGAATTACAAAAGAAACCCTCCTTCCTCTCCTCCCTGCCCCCCAACCAGCACACTGTTTTTGTGCTCCGGGGGGAGGGGGGCATGGCTAGCTGCAAAGCTACGTAAATGTCGGCATAATCTTATGTCTCTGAACACAACGCGGTGAAAATCGCATTGAGGGACAACCACAGGCTTTGGAACTAGCAAAAATTTTACACACCAGGAACGGTAATGCTTCAAGGATTTAAAGGACCTAGAAGTACGTTTGCACATTTTGATTTACGGTAAAAGAGCAAATTGAAGGCTCAATATCTGAGGCCTCAGACACTGAAGGCAACAGTCTCTTGCAAAAAGGCAAGAAAGCGGCCAGGGCCGTTTTAAGCATATCCGGCGCCGTGGTGCAAAGATCCCTCCAGCGCCCCCCACCCCACCCCGTTTCCCAGAGTTGTTGACCTTTTCCCAAGCCTCTTCAGGGATCGCTCTCCTCCCGCGGAGGCTTGGGAAGGAAGCTGCACATCCACCAGCTATATAGTTGACGGGGCACAGCTGGCAGGCGTGCAGGAGGGAAAGGGGAGGCCGCTGGCAAAGCTGCACAGCTCCCCCACTCACTGGGGCGCCCCTGAGAGGCCAGCACCCTGGTGCAAAATGCCAGTAAACCCAATGGGAAAGATGGCTCTGAAAGCGGCTGCAGCTATGGAGGCCGAATCAGATGCCTACATAGAAAGAATTCTCCAAGCCCTAAAGTGTGACTGGACCACTGCTTTGGCATCACTTGCACAGAAATTTGATGGCCTTTCTAATCAACTGAAAGGCATTCTCAAACTGCAAACGAAGCACTGAATCTTGCCAGCACTAATCAATCTGAAATACAGTTATTGCACAAGGCCATGGGAGATCTTGCCCTGAAGTTTGTGGAACAATCAGAAACAGATGTAAAAAAACATTTGAATCGGAGGCCTACCAGAAAATCAGAAAGCGGGGGAGAGATGGCTCAATTCATGGTGGATTGGATACTTACCTTGAATATAAATACCCCCCCTGTCAATAGCAGATGTGGAGAGGACACATAGAGTCCCTGGAGGCCAAAGCAGATGTGGTGAAGCCCCGTGTGATATCATCATCTGCTTCGAGCTTTATAAAGATGCCATATTTAAAGCACTCCGTAACATCAGGGACTTAAAATATAAAGGATCCAGCATCAACATATTTCAAGCCATCAGTCCAGCCACTCTTGCGATGTGATTTTTGCCCTTATACAGCTGCCTTGAAGGAGGTTGGCATTGCCTGCCTCTCAAGCTTTACTTTCAAACTTATTGTCCAGCACAAAGGGAAACAGTGGATGGTAAGTGACAACCGACAAGCTGAAAATATGTTCTTGTGGTACCAATCACTGCTTTTCTTTTCCTTTTTTAAATCTATCTAATTTGCCCCCAATATTATTCTTTAATATCTCTAGGGAACAATCTGATTCCTGCTCTTTGAATTTATCCATACAAGCTAACTCTCATTTGAATATTCATCTCTTTGTGATGGTTCAATTTTGAATGGTGCTGCCTCTCTCACTCATAATTAGTCATACTGGGATAATTGTAAATGCTTTAAACTAAGCCTGTTTTTATATTAGTCCTAATGTGTGAAGACCCTTTAATTGGCCTCGACTGCAGAGTCAACGAAGTCCCACTTATTTCAATCACTTGTAGCATAAAAAGCATAAAATGTCAAGCCAGCCATTCAACCTGCCAAATTTCTGCACAGCTTAATAGTATACACATTGGATAGCTTTCTCATGATAAGTGCCTCCATAGAATAAAGTGGTTTGAAATAATGCTTGTCATGTTTACAGCTAACATCCTCTGTAACCTTTTCAGTGAGCTCATGAGTGAATGTAAATCTTGCACAGCAGTAACAATTACCTATACGATGCAACCATGTCTAAAGCTTGTTCTTCAGACACCAGTGAACAACTGTTCTTCTGCAACAGTTATATCCCTTGTCATTAAACATCCTCATTGACGAGAGCCCAAAGGTATGATCAAATTAGGGGTGAAGAACTGGTTGTCCTCCCCGTCCCACACTTTTCACATACAGATGTCAAGGCAAACTGAAGATGACTGGCAGTTCCATGTGGTCTAACATGAGATCATCCCAATAACAGAGAGAAGTGTGGTGTCTGCGTGTATATCCTTTTTAACACTTAACAACATTTGGGGCGATGGGGTAAATGCAGCTCATATTTGTGGTGATTTCCCCTTAAAATGGATGAATGATGCTTCAGCTCTCAGAAAGGAATTCAGAAATTCCTTTCCAAACTGATATTTCTCCCCTCACTCCCCAGATCCATTTGCTGATATATTTCACAGGCAGTTTGCTGCACCTTGAACAATTCCTCCTGTTCTTAGTCTTGGAAAAACTACATTTTTCAGGCAATTGGTAATAACTCCAAGATCAACTCAAGACCTTGTGGATGGTGGTTTTAGTAGACTAAAGTGACATCTCACCCCAGAACTGCATGGTGCTTATTTCCATTACCATTCCAATGCTGTCTGCCTGCATACTGCAAATGCTATTCTTAATAGGTTATGCTTTGGTTGATAGAGTCCAGCTGCGTACTTGTAAGGTAAATGGGTTTGGTGTTTTTTTCACAGAAAGCCTATGATTATAAATTGTGTTCAGGCAATTCTCCTTTTAAGGATCTGGGACAGTGGCAAATAAGCTGGCAGCCTCTTTCTGAATGTGGTATTAGAATCCTCATCTGTTCTTTAGTCACTTTTGAAAAGTTAGCAGGGAACACCTTTTACAGCTAGACTGGGGAAGTTCAAGCCCAGGGCCAAATGGGGCCTTTCAGGTCTCTCTGCCTGGTCTTTGCGACTCTCCCCGGGCCAAGCTTTGTCCTCAGGTAGTTCTATCTGGCTGCTATGTGTCCTTGAATGGAAAAAGTGCTTCTCACTCGCCTGGATGAAGGGATGGCTGGGCATGTGACTGGAATAGTCTTCAATATATTTTCACCTCTCTCCCTGCCCTTCACTGGCATGTGGCCCCCAGAAGGTTCCCCACAAAGGAATGTGGCCCTTAGGCCATAAAAGTTTCCTCTCCCCAGATGATGTAATCATCTACATTTTTTAAGATGTATGAAATAGAGGCACATATATCCTTGTAACCTGCAGTGTCCATGTTTTGCAAACTCTGAAATTAGGCAAGGCAGGAGAGGGTCTCCACTAGAGCTGTGTAGTAATAATAATAATTAATAATAATAATATTTATACCCTGCCCATCTGGCTGGGTTTGCCCAGCCACTCTGGGCTGCTGCCAACAGAATTAATGATAATAATGAAAAGTGATAAAACATCAGACATTAAAAACTTCACTAAACAGGGCTGCCTTCAGATGTCTTCTGAAAGTCAGATAGTTCTTTATTTCCTTGACATCTGATGGGAGGGCATTCCACGGGGCAGGCGCCACCACTGAGAAGGCCCTGTGCCTGGTTTCCTGTAACTTCACTTCTCGCAGGGAGGGAACCACCAGAAGGCCCTTGGTGCCAAATCTCAGTGTCTGGGCTGAATGATGGGGGTGGAGATGCTCCTTCAGGTATACTGGGATGGGTGAAAGGACATGAGCTTGAAGGGTGTAGGGGTACAGGGAAAAAAACAATGGGTGCTCATCCCACTATGCCTTATTTGTCCCCTACAACTTTTGGTTCACTTCCATTTGACTAGTCACTGAAGAAATGAGTGAGTATCTCATCTGCAGAAAGGCTGTGTGTACTTTGGCGAAAGTGGAAGCACCACATTGCCTTTCCTCTCCGTAAGTGCAACATGCCTTGCGCACTGGCACCGTTTGGCTGTGCGCTTCCCTGCCCCTGCTCTACCTTACTTGGTGACAATGACGGGGATGGATGTTTGACCTAGAAATGTCAGGAGGGTGCTGAATAAGTTGCAATATATACAACATGTTCCTCTGCTCATAAGTAATCCTGATTCTGCACCAAGAAGAACTGAAATCAATGAACAATATGAATTATGCAAAGAGGGCATACTTTATTCTCCTTCTGCTAGTCATGGACAGGGAC